CAGCAGTTGCATGGGTAGAAACACCCAGGCCAGAGAAGGATTGATGACTTGCAGCAGCCTTCTAGTGTTCTCAGTCACTGACCAGTTACCTAGTGATAAGCTGGGAGAGAAGGCAGCTTCACTTGAAAGGCCAGAAAATCATATTTCATGGTCACACGTGGAACTCCAATGGACTGGAAAGGAAACAACATTCCATAGAGAGCTACACAAACTCTACAGCAGTTTCCAATGTCCCCAAAGGGCACAGTTTACTAGAAGTATCAGGAAGCTTACACTGTTGCTTAATTGAATGAATCTTCCACAGATGACAACTGGCACCACGTGGAAAAAGACTTTTACAAAGATCAAGAATGATCTAGGCTAAACAGCATTTCCCCAGTCCATTCAATGTTTAGTTTCTTACATGGTCAGGGCAAAGCAATTCTAGTATCCAAACCACACTGTATTAAATTGAAATCAATAATGAGGAAAGGTCAGACTTTTTCTTTTTTCTTTGTCTGTATTACTTTTATCTTTATTGTTATTTTCTTTCAGTGCTGGAGGTCAACTCAGGGTTTCACACATTCTAGGCAAGCACTGTGCCCCTGAGCCATGTCCATAGACCTTAGCTTCATTTAAATTCAAGAAATCATCTTAAGACAGGTGCTAACAGATTGGGTGGGGAGAACGCAAATAGAATACCTCAGAGAAAGCAGATTAAGGTAATTACTGTAATTACATCAGCACAGCCTAAAGAAGCATCCGGGTGATATTCTCTATCAGTCCCTTTGGGAGTAATGGTCTTCCCTCTTATCAGTAGAGCCTCTTGTCATGTTCTGTGTTTGAGCAATTTTAAATAATGTGGAAATGACCATCTGCTACTTGCTTTCAATTTAAAAATCTTCTTTTCTGAAATGGCATTTTAAAAGAGCTGCCTTCAGAATGTAACTGTATGATTTAGCAACCTTCTGAGTTCATTAACTTTTCTGGTATTGAAGAACTTGAACTTTTTTTTTCTTCCTTTATCATCAGTTTTACAGGATTGGAAAGGCAGCCTTTGTGTTTAAATTTAAGATCATCAAGAACTTAAAATTGGGCCACAAATTAGTTCTGTTTAATTTGCTATGAAACTAATTAATTGTGGTTTACAAATAGATAAGAACAAAATTCAGAGATCTCATATAAATAAACATGAATAGTTTATTGTATTTTCTGAGACAGTCTTACTCTATATTCCAGGCTGTCTGGGAACCCACTATGTAGTTCAAGCTGGCCTTGACCTTGTATTGATCTGCTTCTTCAGCCTCACAAGTGTTAGAATCAAGGCATGACTCACCAGGCCTGGCTTTAAATTGGCTTCAATTTTATTTTACAAGCTTTGTTGTTGCAGTTTGAACTCAGCTTGCATCTACTCACTCATGGAAGTAGATGATTCCATTCTTACTTCAACATCTCCAAAATGGTTGGTTCCTCAAGCAGACTAGGAATCAGAAATGAATAAGCCGCCAGAAAATAAAGTTTAAATTTCTTGGAATGTGCCTTCAGCACAGATGACCCAATAGTCACTGGAAATCAAAGCATAAGGTACTAGCTACAACAAACAAAATGCATGTTCTTGCTAATACTTTGTGGCTCAGGAACTTCATGGTCAAGCACTTTATTCTACGGGGTGAGGAAATGGGGCTATAGGTAGAGTTTCTACACTTTCCTTAGTTTTACCTAAGAATTCTGTGACATGCTTGCCATCCCTACCTCATCCACCATTACTGTGTTTTCCTTCAACTTTTAATAAAGCTGACTCAACAAATTGCTCTGTTAGCCACAAGAACTCATTTATATAAATACGCCAACTGGCACAGTTCAACCATAGCCTTCCTAACAACACAGGTGTCTACATTAGACTTCATTGAGCTTAAGAATGTCCAACAAAATCCTTTTCTCACTAGCTCATCCTTTCAGTCACACCAGTGGTTCCTGGCTCCAGTCCTCTTTAAGAATGTACTCACTTGGGACAGAACTAAATGGAGAATTCTCAATGGAGGAATCAAATTTAGTTGAAAAACACAAAAGAAAATGCTCAACATTCTTAGCTGTCAGGGAAATGCAAATCAAGACATCTCTGAGATACCATCTTGCTCCTGCTAGAACGGCTAAAATAAAAAATATGAACGAACGACAGCTTATGCTGGAGAGGAAGTAGAGAAAGGGGAACTCTCCTCCACTGCTGGTGGGAGTGCAAAATCATACAGCCACTTTGGAAATCAGTATGGCAGTTCCTCAGGAAAATGAGAATCAGTCTACCTCAAGACCCAGCAATTCCACTCTTAGGCATATAACCAAAGGAGGCACACTCATACAACAAGGATATCTGTTCAATATTATTTGTAATAGGTAGAACCTGGAAGCAACCTAGATGCCCTTCAACTGAAGAAAGGATGTGGTACCATTCCCCATGGAGGGATACTCCCTTAACTTAGAGGCAGGAGGGAGGGCCTAGTCCCTATTCCAAATGACTTGACAGATTTTGATGACTCCTCTTGGAAGGCATCACCCTACCTGTGGAGTAGGGGTGGGGTGGAATGGGAGGGAGGTTGGGGGGTAGGAGAGAGGGAGGGAGAGGGAACTGGGATTGATATGTAATATAAGAAAAATAAATAAATAAATTTTAAAAAAGGAAAGAAAATGTGGTACATTTACAGAATGGAGCACTACTCAGTGGAAAAACACAATGGAATCCTGAAATTTGCAGGGAAAAGGATAGAACTAGAAGAAACCATCATGAGTGAGGTAATCCAGTCACAAAGGGACAAACATGGCATGTACTCCCTCATGTATGGATATTAGGCATAGAGTAAAGGATTAGCAGCCTAGAATCCACACCGCCAAGAAACTAGGAAGCAAGGCGAACTCTAAGAGAGACATACATAGTCCCCCAGAGAAAGGAAAAGGGAAAAGATCTGAGCAATTTGGGAGCATGGATGGAGGGGAGAAGGAATTTAGAGAAAGAAAAGGGGAGAAGAGGAGAGGAGGACAGAAAGATTGGGTTGGAGGAAAAATACAGGAGAGCAAGAATAGAGATACCATAATACTGAGAGCCATTATAGGTCTAAAGAGAAATCTGGCAATAGGGAAATGTCCAGCACTCTAAAAGGATGACCCCAATTGAGAATCTAAGTAATAGTGGAGAGGCTACCTTAAATGTCCTTCCCCTATAGTGAGATTGATGACTACCTTATATGCCATCCTAGAGCCTTCATCCAGTAGCTGATGGAAGCAGAAGCAGACATCCACAGCTAGATCCACAGCCAAACTTCTAGAATCCAGTTGCAGAGAGGGAGGACTGATGAGCAAAGGGGTCAAGACCAGGCTGAGAAACCCACAGAAATAGCTGACCTGAACAAGGGTGAGCTCATGGACCCAAGATTGATAGCTGGGAGACCAGCATAGGACCAATGCACACCCCCTGAATATGGGTATTAGTTAGGAGGTCTAGGCAGCCTATGGGGCCTCTGGTAGTGGACCAGTATTTATCTCTAATATACTAGACTTTGGGAGCCCATTCCATATAAAGGGATACTCTCCCAGCCTAGACACATGGGGATGGCCTAGGCCAAATGATGTGACAGACTTTGAAGATCCCCATGGAACGCTCCACTTTCCCTGAGGAGCAGAAAGGGGATGAGATAGGGGGTCAGTAGGGGCAATGGAAGGAGGGGGAGGGAGAGGGAACTTGGATTGACATGTAAAACAAGATTGTTTCTAATTTAAATATATATATACATATTTAAATTATATATATACATATACATATATATGTATATATAATTAACCCATTTGTCTTTGGAACATACTAACGCAATGCCAAAGTGGAAGGTGGGGTGGCTTCAAGGAACTTGAGTACAATTCAAGATCTTTCTTGGGTTGAGTTTCCCATCCCTTTCCTGATCACCTTGCCCACAGTACCTCCATAGATTAGGCATTTTCACTTTTATGAGACAAGACCTTGGCCCTTCAGGGCCCAAAGTAGAGGTTTTTAAGATGATGTCTAGACCTTGTCAAGGGGGATCAGGAATAGTGATGAACACAATTCCCACTAAATTAATGTGTTTGGTTTTTCTTACTCCAGCATAAAATTTTGGCTATAGGCGTAAGGATTATTTAAGTATTGACTTTTGCTAGGCATGGTGCCCAGGAGTATAGCTGCAATTATACTGGAGGTTTTCTCCAAATCACAGAGAAATGTCACCTGGGGAGAATGCCAGGCCTACTCATGACTCAGGCTTGTCTAGTTGTTTGTCTGCCAGGAGATATGTTTTAAAGTCTAATCCTTTACCACACATGTATGAAAAGTGGTAAGGTTTTCAAGGACACAGGTCATCGGGCTGAAGGCAGATCCACAAGTAAACAAAACATGTATCAGCAACTATTCTACTTCATTGGGAGAAAAGGCTTAAGGAAAACACCTTGTGTTAACAGTTAAGCTCACGTGGGTCTGAAGATAATTTATATCGTTTTCTTTATGATAAGGTACATATTAATGACACAGTTGTCAGTTTTAAATACAGTAATAACTTAAAATAAAGTGTTTTATAGCTTTTAAAAAATAACCATCATCCATAAGTTTCAAAACATTCACACTCCCACAGTCTACATTTTAGTGTTTGGTTATATTACAGGAATAAAATTTTAGCAAGAAAATGGAAAAGCACCTTGGGAATTCAATGTAAGCCTTACTATTTAATTAGTATTTGTCACAGAATAGATTGTCATGTGATTGCATTATTCAGGAGCCCTTATAATACCCAACTTTATTATCCATGTTTATGTAAAACAAAACACTTGTATATTATGTCAGTGGAAATACTTTGCTATAGAAGTAGAAATTCATGGTCATTACAGGTGAATTCATTTTCAGTTTTCTGTAAGATGGGAACAGATAGCTGGCCATGGTGTCTTTTACATCGCACACAAGTTTTCTTTAAAAAAGAGATTCATGGAAACAAAACATTTGCTGTATTTTGGCATGTGGAAAATAACAACAACAAAAGAAAACCTTTCTTGCCAAACAAATAAGACACTGTTAACTTAATTTTTTCACATATAATGCATGGTTGTCTCACAAGGCTATCAGAATTAACTCTGTACAGCAAGGGCATCTTCCTCCACCAAGGATAGTTCCAGGGTGTTTTCATTAGCGCTGGTTTTCATCCTGAAGTTGAAAGAACCATAGAGTTTTGCAGACTCCTTAGAAGAGGCAAATCTATTTCGACGATAGAGCTCCCCCTTCCACATAGACATCATCAGCAAGCAGGAAAGAACGACTCCCCCGAGTGTGAGGAGGCAGAGCCCAGCGATCACACAGCGGTCCAGGTGTGCACCTAGCCTTGCACTCTCTTTTTCTAGGCGTTCCATCTCCCGGGCTGCCACTGTATTGGGATCCACTGTCACCTCCCCGGGGGACAATATAAGAAATGATCACCAGCAAGATACCCGTGACCAAGAACAAGATGGCACTTATGAAACCGTAGTCTATAGACTTCCCTGAAGATGTGGCTTCTGAACTTGTATCATCTTCATCTTCAGATATCAAAGACATGGCAGCATCATGGGACCATTCATTAGAGTTTCCCCAGCCAAGATCTCCAGGGTGATTACAGCCTTTTGCTGATGGGGACCTCTGACTTCTCTGTTCTAGGTTGACATTCTCATCCACATAAGTAAAAGAAGTTTCTAGTTCCTGGCTGCAACAATTGCAGACTTTACGATCTGCCATTACCTGATTGTTTCCTGAGTCAGAAGGTCCTGGTGGGAAAAAGCTTGGCTGAATAGCATAGTCTTGGAGCAAGGAGGTTGGGGATGCTGGAGAAGGGCTAAGTCTAGACACTTCCACTACAGCTGCTCTTGGTGTGGATGGACAGTTTTTCTGAGAGCAAAGGGCAGCTGTGATGGGCGCCTCCTCTGCCTGGTCACCAAGAGTCTCTCCTGAACTCCAGTCCACAGCATTGCCCAAGTCCTCTGGCTTCTTCCTCTTAGTCAGGGAGTGGAGCTCCATGGGAGCTGCTTAGAATCCCTGAAGCAATTTCCAGAAATTTTGCCAGTGGCACCCCAGTAAGATAAGAACCTAGCAGATTCTAAGCCAGCTCTATAGAGAGGCCTGCTCCTCTGGTCCCCATTTCCTTCATAGCCATGGTGGATTCAGGACACCTTAGCCTCAGTTCCTCATGAGAGGGGCGTGAAGGAGAAATGGAACCTGGTGGCAGAAGAGTATGGAAATGGCAAGTCTTCAGACTTGTCACAGGGTTAGCAGGGAGAAACTCAGGTCAGGGAGGAGAAGGAGCAAGGAGGAAGTGACAGTATCTATGGAGAGAGCACGCTGCCGTCACCAGGCCAAATTTATCCAGGGACTCACACATTCCTGTGACAGAATCCCTTGAACAAGAAGGCAAGTTTCCTGTAGAAAGACATAAAGGAGAAAGGCAGGGCCCTATTTAGCAGAGCTGCCAGATTTCTGGAGTTCTTGAGCAAGGGCAGACTTCTTAACAATTCAATTAGAGTGCATGTTTATACTCCAGTTCGGAACAGATCCTAATACAGATTAAGGCTTTAATGAATGCAGGTTCCTATCAGCTGGGTGCCATTGAATCTTGACGTAGCAGTTATGAATTGAATGGAAAGGATGACTCCATCATCCAGTGACCAACATGAGGAATCAGGACTAGTGATTCACTTATTCATGTATCTAGTAACCAGCCAGACACAGCGCTGGGCCCTGTGTTAATAGAGCCATATGCACTTCTCTTCTGCTTAGGCCACAACCTGTTCCCCAGGGACAGCTTTCCCACTCCATTGTCCTGTCTGCAAAACACGGTGAGTCAATCCATTTCACACATGTGTACTGCCTGCTCCCATTGAGTGTCTGCTGTTCCCACTCACCAAAGTCTCTGTGGGTCTGAGTTACTTCTCCTCCCTACAGCTTGTTAACACACAAGCACAAGAAAGTGGCCCCTCCCCAGAAGTGTTTACAAGCTCGATGTACAAGTAAGGTGAGGGAAAAGAGAAATGATAAACAAATAGCATTGGATTGAGGCAAAGAACAAGAAGCAATTTCCAAAGCTACCACCCTTGAAGCTCTGTATCCATGGTATTCCCTCACTTCCAATGCACCCAGAGACTTGATGGGATGGTACTCTGTGTTGAACAGAAAGCCATCTGCCCATCTTTCCCTGACTCTGCTAGCTTCCTGGGGAGTGGGGGGGGGATTGAATCTCCATTCCCAATAAATATAAGGGGTTTAGTCAAGGACTCTCTTTGTTTTTATTTCAACCCAGCATGGTGATTAACTTTAAACCAAGGCTGGGGGATTATGAGTCAAAATCCCCAACTCCAGCAGCTGGTCACAGAGGTACACAAGCCAGCCTCACCTAAGACAGACTGGAAAGGGAAAGCAAATCGACAGGTTTTCTGCTGTACTTCAACGATCCTCCCTCCTGTGCACTGAAAATAAACAAAGCAACAACAACAAACAAACAAAAAACCAGAAAGAGAAACAACAACAAAACAAACCCACAGAGCTAAGTGAAAAAAAAAAGAAAAAAACATAACTGAATTGAATTTTCCTTCAGCAAGTGGACAAGCCCCTACTGAAGGATCCTTCAATGAAGGAAGCAACGGGAACCGGTTTCATCAATTACCGAAAAGAAACCCTCACAGATGGATCCCTCAGGCAGGAGTCGCTCTGATTAACCTTTGGCACAATTAAGTAATCATATTAGACTCCTTTAGATAAAATCGGCAGAATCCCTTGTAAGACTTCCAATTTATAACAAAGCAGGGAGATACTCGTAATCTATCTCTCTCTCTCTCTCTCTCTCTCTCTCTCTCTCTCTCTCTCTCTCTCTCTCTCTCTCTCTCTCTCTCTCTCTCAGAGAGTGGGTCTGTTGGAGACTCACTAACAGTGGATTTGCAGATCTGCATTCCCAGGTTCCCAGTCTCAGTGGATAATGGATAATCCCAGGGGACCAGTTAAAGGTCTCTTCTTCCCTGCTCTTTTTCCCTCCTCTGATCTGTTTAAAAGCGCAGTTTATGATATTGCACCCCCAAAGCAGGAGGAAGCTTTTTCCCTAGTCCGCTGCCTATTAACGACAGTAAAATATGGACAGAACTGACAGGTACAAGGCTAGTCTGCAGGAGACCACCTAGGGATGTGGGATGGGATTCAGGATGCTGGATGAGCGCTCGATTTACAGGACCCCTTGCTACCACCGGGCAGGGGAGCCCCCAACAGCCTGCGAGATCAATCAGTTCCCCTGGCCAACTCTTGGTCCGCCAAGCACCTGCAGTCTGGCTGCATCCGCTGAGGTCCTGCAGGCACCTAGGGCGGGGAGTGGGGATGCATGCGTGCCCCAGCTCCTTTTAGACTAGGCTCTGGCTCTCTCTTTCTGCACTCCTCTTGTTTTCTCCTCATCCCACTCCCCACTCTCTGCCACTCACCTTCTCCTTCGGTACCCAGTGAAGCTGGAGCGGGAGCACTCGCGTCCGCGTCGCTCCCGGAAAAAGTCCGCTATTCCCCAGCCGCAGCACTTGTAGCCAGTGTTCCCTGCTGTGTTCGGCTGGGTGGGCGGCGTCCGCCAAGTCGGGCTGGGCGGGGCAGGGCGGGGCGGGGTGCTCCCTTCTGCAGAGCATCCCGGGAGATGTAGTTCAGGAGTGGCCCTTACATGCCTGCGGTTCCCTTTGTCCGGCTCCTCCAGCATTTTGTTCTTATGGAAAACAGCTCCATCCAAGCTTTTACCTGCGTGGAGCTTCAGGCTCTGGCATCTCTAAGATGACTGTGTCTCCCTTCCCTCCCCAACTCTCTATCCTCCCAGCCTCAAGTGCAGCCACAGGATTCAGGCAGAGGATGGGAGAAACAAGCCTTACATTTAGTTCCAATTGTGTATACTTTGTCGTATTTAGTAGTCAAAACACATTTTCAAAGTAGATTTTATCGGTCTTCTTTTTAAAACAAGAAAGAAGACTCACAGGGGTTTAGTGTTCCCACCGCCTCGCAGATTACAAACTCAGCAAATAATAGTATCTAGGAGTGTGGTTCCAAAGCCATCGCCTTTCCCATAAAATTAGCCAAAGTGTAACTACCGAGGATAAGGGTGTTCTGTTCTCCAGTTGGACCCCTGCATTAACTGTTACATTTTGTATCTGCTGAAGGTATAGTAAATGAGAAAACTAGAGAGTATAAGCAGTATTCTTCATTGCTAGGACCTTTCCTACGTGTATTATTTAGCTCATTTAAAACATTCAATTTTAGAGGTCCTGTAAAAGTCCCCAACTTTACAGAATATCTGGAATCCAAAAGAGTAGTTAAATCGCCACCATCGGTACTCAGTGAATTGTCATACTATACTAACCTACTGGGATGGGTGTAGAGAGTGAGAGAATCGGTCAGACACGGAAGGAAAATTGACCTTTGAAGCTATTGAGGTTGTGGCTCTTGAGAGGACAAGCTGGGTTCTTTAGGTAACACATGCCCTCTGTTACCAGAATGTTCTTTTAACAGCCTAGAGCCACACATCTTTGACATTGTGTTTTGTGGATCATCTCCAGTTGTCCAGACCTCCTTTTTTTCTTTCTTTTATTCTTTATTTACTTATTCATTTTGCTTACAAGAGGCTCACATAAATTCTGCAGTCACTTGAAAAATAGATCAGTGTCCACAAGTGACATAACATATGATAATACCATCTATTTCTTTTACTTCACAAACATTTTACAAAACCGGTCTCATGGTTCTACAGACTTTAAAACCCAGACTCTTTGAAATCTGCTTGTGCCACAGTTTTATTGTAGCTCATTACACTATTAGCTCTGGATATGTGAGCCATGACTTGGCTCACTATTCTGTTTTCCAACAAGAATATATTTTCTATCTTCCTCTATTCAACTCATCCTTCAAAGATACATTTGCCAACCTTATTTATGAGGGAGCCTGTCAGTATTATATATTAGAAAAGGAACTAAAACACTGTAGGTGTTCACAAGAGAACAACTAAGATATTAAAATATCGTGAGATGATTTTCAATAAAAAAAAAGCTGCGGAAGGAACTCTAGTTATTTCATCAAAGGAAGATATAAAATATATAAAAATATAAAACATAGTTATTTAATAAATTAAAGTTCATAAAATCAAATGTATTTTACCTCATAGTTTTAAAGGTAGGGAAAGCAGAACCATTGACATAATAGTATCTACTAGTGCTCATATGTTACCAATGTAGATGTTCATACTAACTTTTGGAATGCAAATGCTATTACACTCATTTTGCAATGTAAAACTTAAATTTAGAAGAGATGTATTTTTGCTCCCCAAATCTGAGATGTAATAACCAATATTCTGGCTTGCACATGTCTGATTCCAATCTGTACATCTTTGTCACCACACTGTGCTCAAGAGTGTTTTGCCAACTTTTCTTCATGGAAGTCACATGTAAGAGGTAAAACACATAGAAGACTTCTCAAGCCAATCATCCTAATAATGTTGCATCTTGGGAACCTACAGGAAAACTCTGTGGGCTAATGGAGTAGGTAAGTCACCATTGTCATTAGACACTGGTGCACCTCAGATGCACAGCTTGGGATACACAGTATGGAAAACTTTATCAGATTTGTTAGGAAGGTGATTTGGCATTTAATACAAGCATGGACATACTAACAATTTGGCACGGATTGTCTCACAAAAGTGAATTATGTACTACTAGAGAGGCATAATAAAAAAATAGCAGAGCCATTTATTAGTATTGTTAAAGGAGAGATTTATTTAATTGTATTATGCAACCTCCATGACCTCCCTAATGAACTAATTCTAATTTACATCTCTTACATGAGGTACTTTCCATCTAGGTCACCTCAGAAGGAATCCATACCCTGTACCTTTGTCAACATTTGGGATTTAAAATATTTATTAGCCACTATCTTGTGACATTTCCTGAATGGCTAGGGAACTACTAAATGCTGTTATGACTGAGGCACTTGAACATTAAATGACGACTGTAAAAACCTAAGGTCACTGTTGACAATTTGAACATATTATATGATAGAGAAAGTTCAGTCTTTTTCTTTCATTCAGTGAAGTAAGATGACAAAACTCAATTGAGACTTAAGATGACTATCAGTTATTCTCTCCATCCTCATCATCCCCATTATCATTACAAGAACATAAAATAAAACATTAGACTCTACATATTCCTTAACATTACAAAGTTAATTTGGGGGCCAGAGAGATGGCTCAGTGGGTAAGCACACTTCTTTTTGCCTAGGACCTGGGTTCAATTCATACAATCCACGTGGGAACCCACAGTCATCCATAACTCCAGGTCTAGGAATCTGACTCCCTCTTCTGATCTCACAGGTACAAGGCAGAATGCTTATACACAT